TTTTAGCTAGACTGTTGAACATGAGCGAGATTAATTGATCATTATAAGCGATGTAATGCAGAGCTTCTCCAGGGTCTCATAAAGATTGTTAGAAACATCTGCTCAAGTATAGATTACCTTTTCCCGCACCAGCAAACCGTTAACCAATTATTAGAGCCCCAGGGGCTTTAATCTAAAGAAAAAGTGGAGATTCTTCCATTTGAACAGAGCTCTAACTAGAAACAAAAGAAATGTGAGTAGCTGTGGGATTGATAGCCATACTTGAGAACACACTACTCCATTATTAGGACCTAATTGCGTGAGGAGGTTGGAAACCGCCTTAACCGAGACGCAGTAAATCATATATTTCAGATTTCTATTTTGGCAAATTGTTGAGATAGTGTTCTAGCGCACAAAAATTTTTTTCAAGGTAGCAAAGTATTCGACTTTTCAGCCTTGTCTATGGGTTTCGTAAAAAGTGCTAGTGTACAAGATGGCAGAACACAAGAATGAACCGTATAATTTACTTGTATAGACCCACTCAATCTTTGCAGTTGCGGACGATAGACTGTATATAGTAATTCAACTTTGTTCCATTGCTACTCAGCAATGGAACAGATGAATATTGCATGCACATTCCAAAATTGCTCAGTTCTTTCTATGGATCTGCTTGAATTTTTACTACACACTAAACTTAAGCCGATTGTTTTTTTAACATTTTGGAAGCATTCGCTGACATTTAGATATAGCTTTCCTGACATTTAGCATAGCTTTTCTCACTAACCTTATGTCTCAAAGTGAAAAAGTATAGGATATAGGGCCCACCATATGTACTGTTGAATGAATTTTCAGCTCACCTTGCCTTTCTTCAAATTCCCCTTGGATTTGGTGATTTGCATTTCAACATGTAAGCAATGCTAAAACTTGCCATTTCTATTCTGACCGCAATTATTCTAGCGGAAGAGGTTTATGGAATAGATTACTATTATACTGTTGACTCAGTTCAAGACAAGACAGATGAAAATCAAAATCGGAGGAAATGTGTCGCTTTTTAGAAGTTCTAACTTTTTACAATGCAGTACGCTTGCTAAAATAGCTCTAGATGTAGTTTTGATTGCTCAAGCTCATCTTTCATCGATAATAATCCTAGACATCATTGGATGCTCAATGATTGTTATAAAAATTAACAATTACTGAGTAAAATAAAACCATAAAGGATTGTGTGCTTGCAGCATCTGTATCTCGTTGGAAAGTCAGTACTATAGACTTTCCACAACGTGTTCTGTGCTGATCCTGAAAGA